TACAGGTATCTGAAGCCAGGAGCACTAGCGCGGTTGAGGGACTCCAAGCTCAATGCGAGATCTCAGAAGAACAACTCTCTGTTGGCTAATTTACTCACTCACCAAGTCGATTCGGTCCTTACTCAACATCCGCCACAGACCCAGATCTCAGCGGTGGATCGACACCCTCGGTTGCTCGATAAGATCTACGGCGGTCCGTGCTGCCTCCGGAGGAAGAAGCTTGTGGCTGCTAAATCTGTATACTTGCTCAATTTGAATCCTTCTGGCGTAGATTTAGAATCTAGTGTTAACAATAATGGTAACAATAGTGGCGGTGGAGATTTGTTGATTAGTGTGTTAAATAGTGATGTTATTGTTGCTCGTTGAATATTCCCTTGAATAAATAAGACATTTTTTCCCTTTTTTTTTTCTAGGAATTTTAGTTTTGTGACAATTGTTCATTAATGATCTTTTTTATAGCAATTGAAATCAATAATAGCTTGTGATTATGATTATTTAACCTAAATACTCCTGTTGGGTACCCTTTTTTTTTCTCTAATTTGGCAGATAAGTGATGATACTTATTACAATGTGGGTTTGTTGATGGGTATCCAAATTCAATCAATGGAAGTGAAGGGGGTTTATTGATTCAACTCAACCCTTTGAACAGATCAGTCAAATGTTGGTAAATGGAATTTATTATGGCTACTCTTTCTGTTTGTTCCTATTTCATTGCACTATCTGAACAGAGATTGTGAAGGATTGGTTGGTATGGTTATAAATGAAGTTGTTTTCCTTCGCTGGATGAAATAATGGTAGTTTATGGAATATTATTGAATCAGGTTTTGGATCTTTTGATGGGTGATATTCATTTATTTGATGTCTAGTGCTGACATTGACATCTCTTCTATCTCTTCCGTGGAAAGCCTTCCATAATAATTGATCATCTCACTTGCAAAGTTCAATTACTCCCTGTTTCTGTTCTGTTGAAAGACAGGGTTTGAGTTTATAATTACTTCTAAAATTAAGGCGGTTTTTAGATCATTAATATTAGTGATAGTGAGCTGTTTTCTTCTAGATTTGCCAAGAGAGTTAGCTATTTTGAAGAATCAGCTGTTGAATTATCTAATTTTCTTATTGCCACGGCTTCATTCATGTTATTCACTAAATTTACTGTAAACCCTGTTTCAACTTTTAGAATTTTAGACTAGAAAAATAATGTTGCGCAAACTACTTGAATTCTGCTCCCGAAAGGAGGGTAACATATGCAAGCTGAAATAGCATTGCTACATTGGTGGAAATAGAATTCTAAGGAGATTAGTATTCTGCAAATTCCCGAAAGGAGGAAAACTTATGCAAGCTGAGATAGCATTGCTACATCGGTAGAATTCTTAGGAAATTATCATTATGCAAATTGGGGAATCGAGCAAATGAATGAACAAAATGCATTGTATGAAAATATAATTTTCCTATTAGGCATCACATCATTGACTTTAGATAAGTGTTATTCTTAGAGCAACTGTTACAATGATAAGACATTTTAAAGAGATCTTCACGCGTGACTTGAGGGATCACCAAAGCTTTTTGGCTCAACTAGGATCCGCAAATGAAGTAGCACATCCCCTAGTTGCCGACAAAGTTAAAGTTGAAGTTAGCACTTTGTACCGCATGAAGAATCTGTGTGTACTGTACACAATATAAGTAAATCAGTTTCATGCACATTCATTTTCTGCCTTATACTTCTTGCATTGTATATGTGTGTTTGAATACTAAACTGTTGATGGTCAGGTCCCATGGGAATACTAGAGGAGCTGGTGATACCTAAACAATTAATCAATTTCTCATTTTTTCCCACTATAGTACAGTCATAGGATTTTATTTTTCTTCTGTTAGTTTATAGTTAATCTTTATCTAGCAATTTGTTTTGGTCAATTGTAGTAGAAATTCTTATAGATGAACCAATTGGTGACTTCTCTTGATTAGTCTTCCTTTTTGGTTGGCAACCATATTGCTAATTGAAGTGGCTCTTTCTGGATGAGTATGGTCTTCAACAGTTTACTTTATTGAGCATCTGAATCAATGATTTTAAGCCATTCTTTTATTTCCTAGATACTTTAAAGAAGTCCTCAGTTTCAAATCAATTAATCTAATCAAATAAAGATCATTTCCACCTTTCCTATCCTTCAGCTGCGTAACAGTGATCATTCATTCTTTCCTTTTGATAAGGAGCTTATTGTTTTGACTTTCAAAAAGAGAAGCCCATTGTTTTCTCACTGATAGACAGTTTACTGATGATGATTACGTAATTATTTTGGAGTTGTTTTCATTCTAAATACAAACTAACGTTTCTACTTAATTTCCTTATGTATTATCACTTTCATGACAGTTATTACTTCTGATGATATATGATTCGCGTAAGCTCCCGAAATTGTCACATTTTGTATTCTTCTGATTGCAGCAGAGTAGAAGTCATGAACAGAAACAAACCCCTTTCTAACTCAGAAGAAACTGGTAAGATCCAGTTTCTTACTTCACATGCGTATCCATCCTCTTTATAATCATGTAGTATCCATCCCTTCATAATCATGTAGGATTTCACTTTTCCGATGCTTTAATTATGAAAATTTGAACTTGAAACTCGTATTAGGCTTCTTTCACACACAGTTGGTGTCGGCCAAGTAGTGAAAGGACCCACGGAGCTGCACTTTATATACAGCTGCCGCACAATCAACCGTGGGAAGGAGGACATGGCCATTTCAGCTGAGGTAAGAAATTGAAATGTACATAGCCAAAGATTCTTATCTTGTTTTAAAAAGTAATATTAAGTAGTTGAAAAATGTTGAAACCAAGAAGAGTATGATTGGATTGTGGCGGTGTAGTTGTCAATTTTCTGTTTGTTTCTTTCTCTAGTGATGCATTTGGGTTGCCAAATACAATGAATGACGGCTAGTAAATTTCGGCATGTGGGCTGTATGCATGAAATGAATTGCTGAATAGCGAAAGCAGGACATTCCAGACATTGCTTTCCTTGTCAGATGAACAATTCGTCTCTTCTTTAATTCACCGTTTATTAATTCTGGGTCCATGCCCCACACAAATTCTTTCTTAATTTCCGGTTTTTTTTCTCTTTATTTTTTTTATATTCGGTAATTATATTGGATTCAACTAATTTGAAATCCAGTCATGTTAAATTTCATTAAGGAAGCTTTCTCAAAACTTATTTCTCTATTTATAAGACTCAAACTCAAAATCTTATTTAAAGAGAATCGAGTTCTTTCCATTCAGATCAACAGGTCGTTAGTGGTTTTTTTTTCTTTTGTTATTTTAGTATTAACTTTAGACTGATGTTGTGTTTTTTCTTAATTTTTGTATACCTTAAAATTAAATTTTTTAAACGATTTTCAGAATGTAGTCCTTATGTTTCTTAGTACATTTAAAAAAATTAATTACTTTAAATATTGAATTATAATATAAATTTTGAATCTAACCTCAAAGACTATCCTTATTTCTCACTAAATCCAAGAATTTTTTTTCCTTCTAATCTCATATCTATTACTAGAAAGAACAGTAAGAGATCTTTGAGAAATAGCAAATTCTTTAGTTTTACCATAAATTGTTGCCTGGGTTGATCTAGTGATGGCTAAAGAGTCGGTTCGGCCTGAGTCTGGTCGTGTTTGAAATTGGTTAATGATCCTGGAACTGAAAATGGACCGTGAGTAGTCTACTAGGTTGATCACGAGCTGGGGTTAAGGCAACCAGGATCATAACTAGAATGGGATTGGGTCAAAACCGATCTTAAAATCTATCACTTTAGATGATAATATCTTAACATTTTTAATATCAGGATGTTTTAATTTTTATTTTTATATTAAGAAAATTAGATCAAGTCAGTCAGCCGGGGTTGGCATCAAACCGAGACTGAAGTTGGACTGGCTTGAATGTATAGTGGACTGAGTTGCAGTCCCCAAGCCTTATGATATGAGGACCGCTATCAAACCGGACTGGTAGGCATCACTAATCTGACATAGATGCAAAAGTGGGGCAGATTCACTAATCAATGTCTAATGGTAAAAGAATTCTTTGAGAAATCTTTTACATTATCTTCTTTGAATCTTCTTTTTCATCTTATCAGTAACTTGATGATTGATAATTTAATATTAAAAAGTTGTATTTTTTTTACTATGAACTCATTTCCTTTCCGCCCATGTATTTGCACAAATTAATGTTGCATTTTATCACGATTTCCTCTCTTTTTAACAATAATAATAACAGAAATTATTTTTTTTTCGGTCTTGAGGAAAAAAAAAAAATCTATTCTAGGTATAGAAAGATTAAAATATTATTAATAAATAAAAAATAAATCAACATTCATTAATGGTAATTTATTTTTTTCATATCTCTAACTGATATTTTTAGATTTTTTTTTTGGGTGGGATAGATCATAAAACTGCTATATCTTATAATAAGCTGTGTGCTGGCAATACAAAGTGGATTTGACATCAATATTGTCTTAATCAAGCTTTCTTACCAATATTTTTAAGGAAAGTTTTAAATTTTCTATTAATTTAATGAAACCCAGAAAAAAATAATCTAAAGTCACATTTCTTGTGCGGTTGTTGGAACATGGGAGATGAAACTCTTCTGTCCTTTCTGAGAAATTACCTCTAATTTTTTGTAGCAAAATCGGCTTCAAAGAATCAAAGCTAGCCACCATTAATTCTTTTTTCATTAAAAAATAAATAAATCTAATCAAATCTGCCACTTAAACCAACAAGGCTGCTACAACTAGGATTAAAGAAAGGAAAAATGAAGGTTTTGGGGGAAAAAATAAAGGCCAAACCTAGTATGAAATTCAACCAATAATACTGGAAGTTCTTCCCCCTTTTTTTCAGACTTTATTTTGTCCTTACTATAGAACCATAGTTGCCAAGACATTATATAATTGAATGTGGGTTTGTATTCTTGATGCTAGGCCTTTTTCTGTTTAGAGCAGGCTGCATTTTTCTTTCTCATAGATTTTTGGGAAATTATGTATGGGAGATAGAGAAGATTGAGATTAATATCTGGTTCATGCACCCTGCAATAATCCTGCTCATCCAAAGTTATAAGCAAGTCATTAAAAACACACGCCAAAACAAAATCCAGCTCTTTAATGTGCATTTTCTTCTCTTCTGTCAAACTTGATTCCCTTACCAAGTCAGGCTCTTGAATGACCAAGAGGAAAATCCACACACTTATACACGCATCCCTCACATAGGAGAGTTCTCTAAAGACAAAAATCAGGTCTGTCTTCTTCTGGGTCATTGCCTTCCTCATCATCCCTTCCTTCCCCTTTTGCATATCTCAGGTTCCACAGAAGTTACTGCAACTGCAAATTCTCTGAAATTTCTTCAGGTAAGATCCTTAGAACTCTTAATTTTGAGTTCTGATCCACCCATTTGCTCTTTCTTTTGTACAAAGGTTTCCTTGTTCCTCCTGAATTGAGAAGAACGATCTTCTTTTAACCCTTTAACTAAATTTTCTTTTCTGCAGATCAGATATCATTCAGAATCTTGGAAAAGTTTTGGCTTTTGGTGGTTACAAATTCAGGAAGTAGATTCTTGTTCTTGTTTACTTAAAACCATCCTCTTCTCTTTTCTTGAATCTTGAATTCTTTTTCGGTTCTTGAGAATTCGCCGTCTCTTTTTATGAAACTGTGGAATTTGGGGAAAACCTGAATTTGGGGATTCTGTTTGTCTAGGAATTAAGCAATGGATGGTGTATATGGATACTCCAGACAGGGTAGTGGAGTGTGGAGATCTTTGAGGGATGGAGACTTTGAGGAAGAAGATGTTTGGGCTGTTCTCAAGGAAAGAAAAGATTACAGTCCCAAGGTAGGCCAATCAATGGAATCCGCTGTTTCTGCTAAAAGACATTTCCCAAGTGCTGCAAGAATGATCCCAAAAGCTACTTCTGCTTCTGCTGTTGCTGCAGCTACTAGCAGTGATAGTTCTAGTTCCTGCCATGAGGCCAATGGACTCAGACAGCAATCAGCCCCTGTCAACATTCCTAATTGGTCCAAGATTTCTGGGAAGAAATCAAAGAAGGCTTCTTTCAAGAATTCTTCATGGCTTGATGATGATGATGATGATGACAATGATGGAATTGTTGATGATTGTGGAGATAGTGATGATGATGGTGATAATGATGATGAAGATGATGAATATAACTCTAAGGTCCCTCCACATGAAATTCTGGCTAGGAGGCTTGCAAGGAGTCAGATTTCTTCTTTCTCAGTTTTTGAAGGAGTTGGCAGGAAACTGAAAGGGAGAGATCTCAGAAAAGTGAGGAATGCTGTTTTAACCAAAACAGGTTTCCTTGAATGATACCATCCCCAACAGCTCATCAACATGATCTTGAAAGGTACAATGTCAGTCCTCGAGGGTTCCCAACTTCCCTCCCATTCAGTTCTTCTCATAGTGTTTAATGCTTGTGTATGTACAATGGGTTTTGTGATGGCTGCTTAGTCATGGAATTGTTGAGCAGCTTTGTTAAGGATCGAAAGAGATTCATTCTTGTGTAAAATACAAATTGAATGAATCAATGATCAAATTCTAAATGGGTGATTTGGTTGCATTTGGATTCTCAAGTAATGTGAAAAGGAAAAACAATTTCATATCTATGTCAAGGTATTAAGTTACAAATATATGTTTATAAGGGCATTTATCTTTGAAATTGGACAGAAAACTGCCTGTTGTTTTGATTCTCTCAATCATATCGTTGAGTATGGCAGCCAAGTTGGACAATAATTAGGGTAAATTGATCACGTTCTTTATTCTCCTCCTAGTTTTCTAATTACGTGATATCATAAATAAGTCTACGGAATGAAATAAAGTTCACCTATCTAGTCTAGTCAAAGTATAGACATAGGTATCACATTGATTGATCTAAAAAGCGTTCTAGAACATAAGAAAAGAACATGTTTTCAATGAGTTCTAATTTGTACTGGAAAAAGGATGTACTTGTGGCACTCATGAGAGTGGAAATGGGCTCTATTTCACAATTTGAAAGCCTGGATTGACAAAAGAACATGTTTTCAATGAGTTCTAATTTGTACTGAAAACAGGATGTACTTTGGTAGTCATGAGAGTGGAAATGGGCTCTATTTCGCAATTTGAAATCCTGGATTGACAAAAGAACTTGAACTGTTCAGGGAAAATTTCATCACTGTTATGAAATAAGTCCAAACCCAACTTGAAATCGAAAGTGAAAGTGACATCCTACCCACTCCATAAATTTTTTGTATTTTCATTGGGTGAAGTCTCTTTCACTTTCCTAATTGCTATTCATAAAACGATTATTGTTATTTTATTCATTCCTAACCAGTCATTAGGCATTCCTTTTCTTTGGTTTTTGTTTTTAAGGGGCAAATATTTGTCTTGTAGTAGTTTGTTCGAGTATCAATTGCAACATTCGACAGAAATATTTAGTATTAGTAGATTTTGTAAGATTTTAGAGTTCTAATCATTCTTTTTGTTTTAATTTGTAGTAGAAAGTTTTTGTTTTCATGGTGGTTCAAGATCTTGGTTATGAAAATTCTATCGTATCTAAAAAGATATTTCTAGCCTGGTTTTCTAAACTCATGGTTAAGATATAATGTAGAAATATTTTAAAAATATTATTTTTTATTAGTTGAAAATACCCTATAAATAATATCCCATCGTGAAATATAATT